GGGTTTAGAGTGGGATGATTGACCTTAGAGTCGATTTCCGGGAGATTGAGCTGCACTCCTCTTCAGAACGACAATTTATTCATTTTTATTTAACTGAGTTAAAAATTATTAAGCATTCCTTCTGTGACTCACAACTGCGTCTCAACACTTTTACCAATACCATCATTTCAAAACATGTGTTATTCATAGTTGAGGTGTCAAATTAATCGACATGATTGGCCATTCGCTTTGTTTCATTTTAGACCGCATTTCATTTCATTCGCAGACACAGTCTATAATCTTGGCCAGAACTGATTAAATTATCCCAAATCAGTCGAAGTAATGAGAGAGAGCAGAACAGTGTTATTTAGTTCTTTGAAAATTTCATATTTTCCTTATCTTAACCGTATTCGTAGTGTAAGGACTAGTGATGTCATTCACTTATGTATTTATTTCCACCCTATCTCAGCTTCCATGTAACTTGGAGTTCTGTTCCTTCGAAATTTGATTCTTCGTATCGAAGTGTTGCAAGCTCAACACGATTTAGACAGAAGGCATGCGCTTTCTTCTTGGCTTTCACTGATGTTAGGGAAGTAGACTGCGAAATTTGAAGAATTTCAGTCATGCAGCCACTAGTTTCAACGTAAATCCATAACTCTTGGTTGGAAGATTTAGGTGGGTTAAGTGAGGGTAAGGTTCGTTTATGGCTGATCGCTAGAGACATTTTTTCTCAAGGACGAATTTCACATTACCGAAAAAACATTATTTTACCTTACTTGAGTAAACTGCCAGTTTTACTTGAATTGGAAATTGCCAATTTGTTGAGAGAACTCGCTCTGAATTAGCAAAATTACAAATTACATTTTCGATAAACTTTCGTTCAAATCTTTTAAGTAAACATTGATGTACTCGATAAAATTGCACGAAGCAATTTTTATCACTATTGAAATTAAGGTCAAATCTTGTGAATTTGACCCTAACGATTACATGGGTTATGTTGCGTAAGACACGACCACAATTGAACAAATTTTATGAGCGAAATGGTATCCAAGATGGTATCGATTAAATTTATAATCCGCTCTACTAACAAGTTGGTCAGTAGGATGATTAATAAACTTTCGTCGGCAATGGACTTTAACAAGTTTCCTAACATTCATAAAGTATTGCACTCTTATTTTGACCTACGGATGCACAACGATATTAACTTGGTGATCCTGGTGTGATTTGCTAAGCGAGACACGATCTCATCATCCAGACGCAACCTTTCTTTCTCTAGCACTGTGAATTTTTTAAAAACAGATTTTGCGATTCGTTTCTAACAAAGCCCATCAGTTCCTATTCTATGCGACATCATTGTGAATACAGTGGCAGCACTCTATTACTCGGGTTTCGATCCAGGGAACCAAAATGTCTAGTTCAAGTGTTTGGAAAATTTGGGGCATTAGCGAGAAAGCAACGATGTTTCAAAACGCCTTCCCTTCTGTTCCTACTAACGTGCCTGCTCAAGCATCCGATCTCATTGACAAGGCTCCAGAAGATGCCGTTTTGATGCACTGTTATTGACACCCTAACTGTTTCTCAGGAGAAACTTCTCTTAGTAGTCGATTTAGGAAGTCGAAATCCTTTTCGGCACCCTCGACACATGTAATCACTTTCTAACAGAACCTGTCTAGATCACTCAATCATTAGGCTGTTGGCGATGAAATGTCTTCCTGTAAATAAAACAACATGTTTTGCTACCAGAATTCACTGAACCAACTTCGAAAAATTGACCAAAGTAGTCCACAGTAAACAAAAGCAATCACGTGTGCATGAGGTGGAAAATCCAATTCGTGTTCCCGCCATCCCTCAACAGCCTGACAATACTCTTGAGGAAAATAGAAGCCCTCGTACCAATCTAGTGTTGGTAGCTCCTCAAAACACCTAAGACAAATCAAAACGGAGACGTGTGGAGACAATGTCATGAAATGCCAACAAGGCTGACATAGTTAACTCAAAGGGAAACCGCAACAGTTCTGGCGTCGGCATTATTTGGAAATTCTGAAGGTAACGAATTTATTCAATCCAAAGATCTGGCCTATCAGCAACAGGCAAACATTTCTCGAGGTTTTGTGCACCTCTCTCTGTTGTTTGTCCCATCAAACTCCAAGATTTGAAGATAGCCTAATTGGGAGAAATCTTCTGTGACAGTCAATCCTATGACGAAACACAGTATCGACATGTTTTAAACTGATACACGAGAACACCCTAAAGAACTTCTAGATCTCGATGAGGATATTCACAGCTTTCTGCCAGAACGTTCTATTGCCTCAAGCAAGTTATGTAAAAAGTGCAAGAGGGGAACGGTAAACCCTATTTCAACTTGCCAACAAAATTTACACAGATCAGTCACCCGACACAGAATTGTCAGACGCCATGATTACTTGGCTCATGCCAATCTGTTGGCGGCTTCCAGAACCTTCCAAGTTCACTAAAAGAAGGAGAGTGTAAGCTTCAATCCTACAGAGGTGGTCCTCATCAACTTGTGTGAATTTTCACTAACTTGCGTCAACTAGATTTCAAAGCATCAAGCATTAAGTCAACATTCAAGCTAACCAAATGCTACACTTAACACTTACACTAGTAGCTAATAACAGGTCAAAGTCCTGCTTGTAATCGACGTGGAATCAAGAAGCTATGGATGCATGGATACATCAGTTTGGAAATCAAGCAGCGAAGACCCACGAAATATTGCCGACTGCTTACTGCTTGTGGACACTAAGTATATGCTACCCAAATTGGGTTCTTTAAAATAGACCCCAAAGATACTCCTCTTCGGTACATGCTAATCCTCCACGTGCCATTTCTGCACATATCGATTTTGCACTCAATTTGTACGTCCTTACACCGACCCGAAGTTTCTCGCATTCACTGTGGACGACGAATTGCCTTCGCTTTTTGACTAGAAGAAAATATAGACCGGCTAATTATTGAGCATTGCCACCCTGTGTTTAGCTACCTAACAGAGCTCTAGAATATTTATTTATTTATATTAAATGGCACATCAAAGTGACAAAAAGTATAGAGGAAGGGGGGGGGGAAGAGCGTTTCAAAGATGATGAAAAGACTGTCACCAAGGTAGAGGGAAAGGTGAGGCGAGTACTATGGAAGTAGTCGAATATGACA